CAAAAAATATAAAAATAAAATAAAATCCTTTAAAAATATATATATTTTAAAGAAAAGAAGTTTTAACGTATAACATGTTAAGAAGGCAGTTAATTTATAAAACTGCTGACCAGTTACCTCACACTGATGGTGATAGTTCAGCTCAAACTAACATAAGGTATTAACCGAATACATACTTATCTCCAGTACTAATGCATTCATTTAACATGTTTAGGGATTATCTGTTGCTTTGAAAGAAATCTTGGAATTTAATGTGATCCCTTATCATGAAAATGAAAAGATTTTCTGTTACCATTTGAAGATAAACGTTATTTTATATATTTAGATCTAAGTTGACTTCTTCAATTCAAAAATTAGTATTTTGCAAACTAATTATTATTATTAATTAGCTGTACAGTTTCTCTTAATCTTAAATATATTTCTTAGGAAGACGAAATGTGAAACAAAAGTAGTGCAGGAATATTCATACTTGAAGGCATTGTCTGTTTTTCTTTATTAATCCTTGAAATCTCAGTAGTAAGGACTTATTGTAACTTTTCTTCATCTGCCTTCTGTAGTCATTGGAGAAATGTTCCTGGTGTCTCTCATTCTTACTTTCAGAAGCATGATTGGTTACATACATAATCACTATCAGTGGGAGTGGGAAAGATAATTTTTTTACTTGTATTTTGTTTATTTACTTTTAAAAAGTAGAAAATGATATATGATTACTAGTTGTAAATGAATGCTGCTTATTTAGATAGAGCTAGAGGATAAAACCCCTCTCAGGCACTTAAAATTGTGAAATATGTGAGCGTTGTGAAATGTGAATCCAGCGAAATGAAACTATTAAAAGGAATTTGGTTTTAGTTGTACAGATTTTTTTTTTAATGAAGAATGACAATTGAGGAAGTGAGTAATCAAATTGAACTTGCTACACAGTTCCCACAAACGCAAAAAAGAAAACGATTAAAATGAAATATTAATTTGATATTTAACTTGAATTTTGAATCTCACATGTTAATTTGTTAAACTTTTCCTTTAAATTATTGTTGTTTATTATTATTGGTGCACAGTTTTTCTTGGCTAGTTTATTTTATCTGATGGCCTAAAAAGAATAGCAAATTTTGTTTGAAATTGTTCTTTTTAAACTTCAGTAAAAGAAGGGTTTTTTTTCCTGTTTTTGTGTGCATGTGTGTGTGTGTGTGTGTGTGTGAGAGAGAGAGAGTTGTGTTTATTGTCTAATATTATACCTATAGTACAGTTTTCTCTCTTTACTTTAAAAGCAAACACAAACAGAAATATTTTAATGCATAGAAAATGTTAGCTTTACATCATTAGAAAGCTGTCAAATAAATGCAAATAATGAAAAAGTACTGAAGTTGTTTAAAAATAACTTCTAAAATTGCAGAGCAACAAACAAGGAACATATAATTACCTTTAAGATGTAGAACATTTTAGACAATTAAAAAATGGTGTTTTTAATAAATGTTAACAAAGCCTTTAAATCCATATCAATAAGTTTTTAATACGACTTTAAATGTGAAATAAGTTTAAAATAAAAACAACAAAATGTAGTTGTGTTTATGAAATCTAAACATGAGTTAATTTACCGCTGTAAAGTATTTCAGATTTGGTGCAAATACTAGTGTAATGCTGCCTTGAGTTTGTTTTCATTACTCAGGCAAGGAAAAACATCAAGAAAATTCTTCCTCGAGCTGTATACTCAGCTTCTGTTGGTTTCTTGTGACGAAAGCAACTGTGCAGACTTATTAGCTTAATTTAAATAAACTTTTATGAATTATTTAATATATAAATGTAATTTTAATTCCAAGAATATTGTGAAAGACCTGGAAAATAAATTATAGGAAGTGAAAGTAGCATGGTCATGGTGTGTGTGTGTGTGTGTGTGTGTGTGTGTGTGTGTGTGTGTGTAACACATAGTAAGATTTATGAAATCCATTTTCATTAGATGACTTTCAGACTTTTTAAAAAGTAAAACTCCCCATTAAAAAGGCACTTAACTTATTTTCCTTGTAAAATATGCCAGCTAAAAATTAATTTTAAAAAAAAAGAGTAAAGGGAACTTTCTGTTATACTTACTTGGGTAGAGTAACGCTTTTCCTTCAAACAAAGATTCTTGAAGCACCGTTAAGGATAATTGATGATGGGTACCCAGGCCTCCGAAAGAACAAGGAGTTTATTTTCATTTTTTTCTTGTCTAATTTCTGTTAAGTAAAGAGATTCTGCCAAGGGATAAAATAGTTCCTTACTTTCAGGATGTTTTAAAAAATATGATTCCTTGAACTTCTCTAGGCTTAAATATTTTTGTTAGTTTGTACGTTAGCTGATCTGCATAATGTTAAACATTTTTTCCTTTATATAAGCCAATTAGTATAATCATACCTCTTTTTCAATTTAAATGTATGGGTGTATGTATCTCTATAATAGAAAAATACCATCAGTTTAAAATGATGACACTATCATAGTCACTTGGTTGAAATAAATATAAGAATCTAAAGCCTTGAAATTAAGATAAAGGAAAACAGGATAGCATACCTTTTATATACAACACCTTGTTGATCTTGTCTACACCATTTTATGCAAAAAACTAATTTTTTGTAATTTTATATACTGAAGACTGCATATAAATGCTGCGATAGAAAAATGTTCCCACATTAGTCTGACTTGGCAAATAGGTTTATAAAAAGTTTTGTTGTCTTTAAAATAAAATTTGTATAGTTTTTGTTTTCTTTGTTTTACTTTTTTTCACAATTGAGTACCATCTTTCACTAAAGTAGATTTGCTTTGAAGATATCAAAGGCTGTGAAGGAAGGCGTTTTCCTGAATTTATATTTTTAACTCTTGGGCTATATTAATTAAAATTTCATAACTAATTTATAATCTAATAGTATTATTTGGCATTTTTAAAACTCAAAACATTTCTATTCATTATGGCCAGTTTTTATTTAGTGCTCTGATGAATTACAAATTTAGTAATTTGTGAATTATGTAAATTATTCAAGACAATTGGATGTATAGTTTTAAATAAGTTATATAGGAAAACTGATTTCATTATATATTCCTAACCAGTTTTTAAATAAATAAAATCAGTATTTCACTCTTAATGCAGTCAATGTTAATTTAAGAAAAAAATCTTCAGTTAGAAATATGAAAAAAAATACAGAGAACCTTTTGCTGCAGTAATTTAGTTGTTAAAAATATTAAATCTGATATATTCTATTTACTAGATGAGTAAGCCTAATCCCAAAAAGAAAAATTCTGTCTTTGAAAATACATTGCAAAATTACAAAATTGCATTGTAGAATTTAGTTAATGATTAACTTTGATAGCCTATATGTTTGAACTTGAAAGTATTTGTATTAACTGTTAACATGTGTTAATATCTCTTTTTTTAAAATTTATTTTATTTGTTTAATTTTGGCTGTGTTGGGTCTTCGTTGCTGCTCACGGGCTTCCTCTAGTTGTGGTGAGCAGGGCTACTCTTTGTTGTGGTGCATGGGCCTCTCATTGCAGTGGCCTCTCTTGTTGCTGAACACAGGCTCTAGGCACGTGGGCTTCAGTAGTTATGGCATGCAGCCTCAGTAGTTGTGGCTCTTGGGCTCTAGAGCGCAGGCTCAGTAGTTGTGGCGCACGGGCCTAGTTGCTCCCCTGCATGTGGGATCCTCCCGGACCAGGGCTCAAACCCATGTCCCCTGCATTGACAGGCGGACTCCTAACCACTGTGCCACCAGGGAAGCCCTGTTAATATCTTTTCAAATATATATTATTGGTTTAATTCCTTTGATTTTCTCACCATCCTCAGCAAAGAAGTAGGTGGAAGGTCTTTTCTTTTTTTTAATTTCAGTCTTCACTGTTGTACTTTGATACAGCTGTTCAACATAATATTATGGGTTAAAGTGGTTTTGTGTGTTTGTTTTTTGTTTTTTGAATCTACAAATTCTGTTGTGGATTAGGGAAGTGCTTTAAACCCTCTTCCTGGTCTATGAAGGAACCTTCTATCATTTATATTATGACCATTCTATAAGATTGTTGACTATTAGAGTATGTTGAGCTAAAGAGAGAGGAGTGTTCTATGATGTGAACACTTCTAAAAAGACATTCACACATTAGCTAATATCTTTTAATTGTATCAGTTATTTTCATTGAAATTTTGATTGGAGTATATACCATTTCAAAACCAGAAAACAGGTAAAGTCAAATTTCAGATTGGTACTTTTAAGAAAAAATATATACATATATATAATTACAGCATCCTCATGCTAGAAGAAGAAAATCGTGGAAATAAATTGACCAGCCAAATGCATGTTTCAGCCTGGGAGGTAGAAGAGTGAAATAAAAAGAGCAGTGATTTTAGAGTCTGAAGTATCTGCTCTGCCTACACCCGAGAATTATTGAAGGGCTCCAGTAAAATGTTTGTGAAAACCGTTTCATATAACTAGCACAAACTGTGTAAATGTAGGATGTTCTTTGTTTTGTGGGGTAATGAATGGTTAGTTATTGCCACATAACTGTTTTTTTCCATCTTTTGGCCAATGATCAGTAGAGGTGTCTTCATTGGCTATCTTGAAAAATCCTGTGGTTTCCTACCCTGATATTAATGAGGGAGTAAGTCTGATGAGTTAATTAAAGGAAAGAGAAAGAGATATGTGGTAGACTAGCATTTCCAAAAGAATGGGTTGGTTCATGGTTGGTTTATAACATTTTGTTCATCCCTAGCTAATGCAGAGAGAACCCAAAAAATAAAGTAACAGTGTTTTGGCTTATTCTTGAAATGTGATAAAAGTTTATCTTTAAGGGTATGTAGTTAATGTTTTATCAAGATTTTATTTGCATGTTTTTCAGTGCACCCTGCTGTGATTTTTTTTAATCATTCATCTTATTAAATGAATCAATGCTTTCAGATTATGAGACATTTGATATTATAAACTCTGTAAAGAGCCATCTTTCTTTCTTCCTTCTACTTTTCATTAATGTTTTGATATCCTCCTTTTATACAGGACTTCGCCTCCCGGGCTAAACTGGCAGTTCAAAACCTAGTACAGAAGGTTGGATTTTTTGGAATTTTGGCCTGTGCTTCGGTAAGTGAATTGTATTTAAATAGTAGATTTAATGAAGAGTGGCCCCTGCTTGCCACAACTAGAGAAAGCCCTCGCACAGAAATGAAGACCCAACACAGCAAAAAAAAAATTAATTAATAAACTCCTACCCCCAACATCTTCTTTAAAAAAAAAAATAGTAGATTTATATTTCGATCCAATTTGTTTTTAAAAGTACATGACTTGGGGCTTCCCTGGTGGCGCAGTGGTTAACAGTTCGCCTGCCGATGCAGGGGACGCGGGTTCGTGCCCCGGTCGAGGAGGATCCCACGTGCCGCGGAGCTGCTGGGCCCGTGAGCCATGGCCGCTGAGCCTGCGCGTCCGGAGCCTGTGCTCAAAAAAAAAAAAAAAAAGTACATGACTGGGGCTTCCCTGGTGGCTCAGTGGTTGAGAGTCTGCCTGGCGATGCAGGGGACGCGGGTTCGTTCCCCGGTCCGGGAAGATCCCACATGCCACGGAGCGGCTAAGCCCGTGAGCCATGGCCGCTGAGCCTGTGCGTCCGGAGCCTGTGCTCCGCAACAGGAGAGGCCACAACAGTGAGAGGCCCGCGTACCGCAAAAAAAAAAAGTACATGACCAAATGAAAAAATTATCACTTTTAACAGGTATATAATGTTATTAATCATTCACCTTACTGATCAAATGAGCTGTTTTCTGTTGGATAGGTTTCTATGTTGTTTATTGACTTTCAGGCATTTCATCATACCATGATGACTTCAGACCTAAATGGCTTGATTCAGTAAGAAAAAAGAGACAAAATCCATCTTTCTCATGAAGAATATATAATGAAGTGCATTTAAGCAAATAATAATGACTTCATTCTTTCCAGAGTTACAGATAGGTAGTCTTTTTCCAAAGCTTCAGGCATTAGTTATAAGAAAGAATTCATATAAAACCTCCTTAAGTGACTTTAACACCTAGCTAGGTAATTGAAACATCTGTGGCAAGGTTAAGGACATCTTTGGCTACAGTGAATTAAGAAGCTATTTGTGTCAAAAACTTAATTAGGACTACCCTGGTGGCATGGTGGTTAGGAATCTGCCTGCCAATGCAGGGGACACAGGTTCAAGCCCTGGTCCGGGAAGATCCCACATGCCTCAGAGCAACTAAGCCCATGCACCGCAACTACTGAGCCTGCACTCTAGAGCCCACAAGCCACGACTACTGAGCCCACGTGCCACAACTACTGAAGCCTGCATGCCTAGAGCCCATGCTCCGCAACAAGAGAAGCCACAACAATGAGAATCCCACGCACCACAACAAAGAGTGGCCCTTGCTCACCACAACTAGAGAAAGCCTGTACACAGCAATGAAGACCCAGCACAGCCAAAAATAAAAATTAAATTTAAAAAAAGAAAACAGAAGTTACTAACTGTATATAAAAAAATAACTATAAAAAAATAACTTAATGTCTCAAATTGCAGATTTATGAAATTGACATTCCTTGATGAGTTGGTGTTTATCCTGGTCCTTTTCTAATATAATAGATACAGTTACATTTGAAATGGGGTGTTTTGGTCAAAGTTTTCTTTGGTAGTCTGTACACAGTTCTTGGTAGTTCAGTGGTAGATTTGACCAGAATAACTAGATGTATCTAGTTGATATGATAAAAGCTGCAATTATAAGTAAAATTCAGAAAATTATTGTCTACTGACCCACAGTTACTTTATCCATTATGTATTAGAACTTGAATATATCCTGAGTACCCTTTCCTCACCTTAGCAAAGTAAATGGCCAAAAAGGGAAGACATTTGGTGCCAAAATTTCTAATGTGATATCAACATTCTAGAGATATTCTAAACTATACATATGCCTCAATTACTATCTTTTGACCCTGGCAATACTAGAAATTTTTATAATCTAACTTTTCTTTTCAGTGTAGAAGCTCTTTATCACAATATTGATCTGAACTATTTGAGCAATGTATAGGTATGTTGTAGTGTGATGTAGTGGGATGAGAATTGGCTTTGGAGTCAGGCTTACTTGGGTTCCTAAACCAGGTTTGCCTCTTAGCTATGTAGTCTCAGTGTCGATTTACTCTCCTTGAGCCCTAGTTTTCTAATGTTTAAAATGGGGCAATAGGGACTTCCCTGGTGGTCCAGTGTGTAAGGCTCTGCACTCCCAATGCAGGGGGCCCAGGTTCGATCCCTGGTCAGGGAACTAGATCCCGCATGTATGCCGCAACTAAAGATCCCGCATGCCGCAATGAAGATCCCACGTGCCACAACTAAGACCCAGTGCAGCCTAGATAAATAAATAACTTTTTTTTTAATGAGTTAGTAAGACACTCATTACAATGGTTGATGTGAGGATTTAAGATAATATATATGAACTAACACAGTGCCTGGAAGGTGATCTAAGAGCTCAACCATTTTTTATTGTTATTCATCAGCTTTTTTTTTTTTTTTTTTTTTTTCCTTGCGTTATGCGGGCCTCTCACTGTTGTGGCCTCTCCCATTTGCGGAGCACAGGCTCCGGACGCGCAGGCTCAGCGGCCATGGCTCACGGGCCCAGCCGCTCCGCGGCACGTGGGATCCTCCCGAAACGGGGCACGAACCCGCGCCTCCTGCATCGGCAGGCGGACTCTCAAGCACTGCGCCACCAGGGAAGCCCTATTCATCAGCTTTGTATCAACCCCTGAGTGCTTGGATGAAGAAGTGAAAGCTGTATTCCCCTTCCTCAAGGATCCTGAAGTCTAGTGAGGGAGACAGTTGAAATACAATAATAAGTGAAAGGTGCTGTGGAAGCCCAGCAGAATAGGATTAAGCTGAGAGGCCTAAAGAACGATAATGTCCTTAGTTTAGAAGCTAAGAGAACAGTGTGAGAGCCATGTTGCCTGGGTTGAAATCCTGAAATCATGCTCTGCTGCCATTAATACTGGACAAATTGCTTAATCTGTCTGTCTCACTTTTCCTGTCTATAAAATAGATGTAATATCATATAGCATTGTTTTGGGAATTAAGTGAGTTGATGATGTAGAAACCTTAGAAAAGTACCTAATAATTCAATAAAAGTTAGCTTTCATTATTCCTGGGGAAAATACAAGAACCTTCGATTTATTAAAGCAAAAAATATTTATTCTTTGGCACTCATCTATGCCTGTGTCTTCCCTGCTAAAATTCCACTTTCTATACTAGCCAATCTTCTTTATATTTGACTAGGAATAGTCAGTAGCCAACATAAATTAATAGATCGATTTGACCCTCTAAGAACTTTTTACTAGGAAATTGTTAATACTTACATTAAAGTATTAAAAGTATGTGTACTTGACTTAAGGTAAGAAGGTAAGTAGAGGGTAAGGTAGGAAGAAGTTTGTTTTTGTTTTTTATAAATTTATTTATTTATTTTATTTATATTTGGCTGTGTTGGGTCTTTGTTGCTGTGCACAGGCTTTCCCTAGTCAAGGCAAATGGGGGCTACTCTTCATTGTGGTGTGTGGGCTTCTCATTGCCGTGGTTTCTCTTGTTGCGGAGCACGGGCTCTAGGCATGCAAGCTTCAGTAGTTGTGCCACACGGGCTCAGTAGTTGTGGCTCGCTGGCTCTAGAGCTCAGGCTCAGTAGTTGTGGCACACGTGTTTAGTTGCTCTGCAGCACGTGGGATATTCCTGGACCAGGGCTCGAACCCTTGTCCCCTGCATTGGCAGGTGGATTCTTAACCACTGTGCCGCCAGAGAAGCCCAGAAGTTTATTTATTAATTAGTTATTTTGTTGTTAACATTTAATTAAGGTAAAACTCGTAATTGAGGGAAAATCTCAAAGCTACTTAATAGTTCTTTTAATTCTAATCTTCCTTTCTGTGTATTTAGTTAACAATTGAAAAAAGTAACATGCATATGTAACAACAAATTCATTGATTATGCTCTTCTGAGAGTATCCAACATAAAACTTCTAATTTTTATCTACTCTGATTACATATCTTGTGTACTTTAATTTCCATTTCAATATGCTGTGGAGCCTGATAATAAAGGAAAACAATTAAAATTTTAATTCATGGAGTTGTGAGAGTCATATGAGAAAATATAAGAAATGACAGTTGTAAGGATGTGGAAGTGACATTGTTATTAAATGGTTATAAGACAGATGAAATTGCATAAAGCATTTGAATTTGGATAAGAAAAATAAAATTGAGCTATTGAATCTGAGTTTTATTAACAGAAGAATACTTGAATTCTGATTTAGTTATGTCATTGTTTTTGAAAGAACATTTGTGACAAATATCTTTTAAACAACTGGGCTTTTATTTGAAAGTCCAAACACAGAATTATATAAATTAATTAGCTTATAAATGGTTCCACCAACAGACACAGGACAAGAGTACCTCTGTGGGAGAAAAATGGATGAAGTGCTCAAAAAGAGCTTGTGGTTTCTTTGCATTTTTACATGAAATTATCTATTAGCATTCTTGAAACGTGGGAATGTTCAGAAAAGGTATTTGTTGTGAATCACTTCTTTGTCTGGGACTGAGTATTCACAACATCTGAATCTGTGCTCTTGTATTTCCACCCTTGATTTTCTTCCTAGAATGAATCGCATGACCCCATGGCCTTGGGCTGTCATAGATTTAAAAAATTCATTATTTGTATTTTACTTTATGTTGAGAAATGAAAGCACAGTCACCTATAAATGTATTTGTGAATTTACAAGAATGTTTTCTGTAGATGTGAATACTTTCTAGATAATCTTTTTCTTCATTTATACCTCACCTTATAAAACAGCTACCAAATGGTCAAGTATCTACTGAATGGAATCAAATTCCTGTTGATCCATTGGCTTTATCCAGTTTTAATGTGATGAAAAAAAGTATATTTATGGGGCATTAGTCATAAGTAATGCAAACAAAAGGACAGCTGTGTTTGCTTTGAACAAATTAAGCAACCGCCCGGCATGTGACACAACTTATAGAGACATTAGAATCTAATGTCTCTTATAGAGATGTCTCTTGTAGAGATGTCTAATGTCTCTTATAGAGACATTAGAATACTTGTCAAACTATCCAGACAGTCTGGTACTGATCAGGGACCCATACCTCTCTTTCCAGTGGTAGACAAGGCTTAACACATAATTCCACACACCTATAGGTGGTAAAATTAAACTGTTTTTTGGATTATATATGGATGTTCCATTTTATTTTTTTCTTTTTTTAAATAGATTCCAAATCCTCTGTTTGATCTGGCTGGAATAACATGTGGACACTTTCTTGTACCTTTTTGGACTTTCTTTGGTGCAACTCTGATTGGAAAAGCGATAATTAAAATGCATATCCAGGTAATTATACCCTTTGACTCCCTGTTTAATGATGATGAACCCCTTAAAAGACACTGAAAACATATTCTCCTTGCTCTCTCCAAGGCGAATTGTTAAGTTTTTGGTTCTGCTTCTTGGTTGGTAGCATGCTTAGGTATTCAGCCACGGAACATCGTTTGGAAGTTAGTGGATATTGGGCAGGTTTTCCCTACTCCTACTGGAAAGTTGTTCCCCTTTATTATTTTTTTCCTTGTTTTATTTCTTTCCTTTTTTCCTCCCTCCCTTCCTTTCTCTCTTTCTTTCTTTATTTCACTTTTGCCTTGTGAAACTGTTTATCCAAGAATTTTAGCAAATGAAAATAGTGTTCCTGTATAGGAAAATGCACACCATATTAACATACGTAGTCCAAAGATGTTTTATCCTTACTGACCATAGGCTGAGGAAGTAGTCCCTTTCATTAATTCTACTTTTCTTTCACACGTTCTATATATAACACTTCCTCTCAAGGCACAAATATCCTTTACAAAATACCAGCCAGATGTTAATGTGGACAATGGGGAAGAAAGGGGGCCCTGAGGAGGCGAAGAGATGTGGGTTTTGGTTAGAGATGTGAGAATCTGTTGGTCTTCAAAGACACTCTTAACAAAATCTTTAGGATAGGGCTGTGTGTGTGTGTGTGTGTGTGTGTGTGTGTGTGTGTGTGTAAACAGAGAGAAAAGAGGCCAATAACTTAGAGGAAATGGATATATGCTTCTAGGACTGTGATACAAATCGATAGGTGTGGTATAAAAGGCAAATCTTACTAGAATAAAATAAAATTAACGTGGAAGGAATGTCTTCATTAATGAGGTTTGCAAGAAGGAAGCATTCACCGAAGGAAGGGCAAGAACAGTGAGTAATGTCTATGCCCTGGTCTGATTCCTTAATAATTAAAAGCACGTCTATCCCCCAAGTTTTTGCTTACCACCTCTTTACCTCCAGTTCTTAGAAGAGAAGAATGAAAAGGAAAACTTCAGCTGCTTCTACCTGCCCAGTTTCTCATATTAGACTTTGGCATTTAGGATGAGTTTATTGAGCTTGTCATCGACTCTCTGGCCATGCTAATTACTCAGAATTTCAAGGCTTTATTTTTCCTCCTTCAAGGAATATAATTTCTTCTACTTACGTTAAGTGTATTGTTCAATGACGATGGGTTTTTAAATACTGGAATGCTAGTTACTTTGGGAAAGATTTAAAATACTGTAATAGGGTTTTTCAAATAATAAAATCATTTAGCTTTTTGAAGTCCTTTGAAAGTATTAATACCTAGGGAACAATAACAGATTATTTTAATTCCCTTTATAACAGCAACTTTTCTAGGAATCCATAAATTTAATGTATCCTGCTTTATGTACTAACTTTCTATAAAATACAATAAAATATATTATGCTAAAAGTACCCTATAGTTATAGGGTATGTAACTTATCAGACCTTTCATTATAGCATATTCAAAAATAGTATATTTTTTTTAACATTCTCATTAGATTTTTTCAAGTTATCAAAATAATGCTTAATGTTTTAATATAGTACTGCACACTTTAAAGTACTTAGTGTATGCCACCCGATTTAATTCTTATAATCCTGGGATAGAGAAATTACTACTCCCATTTTGTAATTATCAAACTTAGAGAGGGGAATAGGTATTAGTTGCCTAAAAGAATAAGTAACAGCTGGAATTTGAACCTGAGTCAGCTTCAAGTTCAGTGTTCTTTCCACTCTTTTGCAATATGCCTTCTTAACTGTATTTATGTGATCACGAAAACTGAATTGTTTAATACCTGCTGTTTATCAGGACCTGTGCCAGGCAGTTTGCATGATTCTCTCAGAACAATCCTGTGAGGTGGTTATTATCCCCATTTCATAGATGGGAGGGACTAGAATTCAAACCAAAATCGTGCTATCTGTTAAACCTCCCCTAAAAGTTTGAAATCAGCCCACCTAATAATGTTAATTAAGGATTTCTTTTTCTACTGGACAAGTTCAATTCCTCAGCCTGTAGAAGTTCCCTTAGAAATATTTCCTTTCTCCTAAATGATGAAGAAAATAAGGAGTCAACATACTCATATAATATTTCATGTACCCTATAATTTACTTATCATGTGTATTATTTATTGCCTTTCAACTTTCCCCCTACCACCACACACACGTGTACAGAAATATAAGCTCCATGAGGGCAGAGGTTTTTGTTTCTTGGCTCCCTCAGGTATTCTAGTGCCTAGAATAGCATCTGGCATGTCGCTGGCACTCAGTAAATAAATTAATATATGAATCAGTCTAAAATGCTTCTTTCCATTGGAGGACCCTTCTTTTATAGATATATAGTTTCTTCTTTGTTCATTCTGGCACCATTAGTTCCCTACACCCAAAATATTTTTTTTTAATTATTCCTACTCTACCGTTATTTCCTCTGTGCACATGGTTGACATGGCTGACTGGGCTCTTTGGGGATCTGTGCCTTTTGTTTATTTGGTAGAATCCCCACCCAGACCTCAAGCTTGAATGATTCTGAGACATATGTTCTTAAAAGTCTTGCCCAGCACAGTGAATTTTCAAGCTGTTATATATAAGAAGAAAGTCTTGTTCTGTTTTCAAGAAACGAAATTGTGCAATTATCTGGGCATTGGCTTATTTTGAATGTTAGGAAATGATGGTAGGGAACACATGGTGGTGAAATCACTGAGAGGCAAACCATTAGCTCTGTTTCTTAGTAAAAGATTTATAGCTCCAATTAACTGGCTTTTAGTATGGATACTAGAAGAGTCCCCATATATTAATGCTTTTCTCCCTAAATGATCTCTTGTAATTGTCTTATTAGCTTCATAATCTTCATACACCATTTGTGCAGGATTGTTGATAAATCGTCATCCATCTTGTAATTATTTGATATCTATATGTGCTTACTTTTTTCATGAGATAGGTAAATACCTTTTTCACATTAATAGATACATAAACAAACACCAAAAAGGACTGTGAACCTATTTTTTTAGTCCTATTTCCTCACACATATCCAGCTGTGCAGCTGCCAATGTCTTTGTTAACTGTAGGACATTAAGAAAATATCATTGCCTTATTAGTCTTCTACCTGAAATAATGAGCTTTAGTCTGAATTAGCCACTTTCCTGAGATTCATAATGGATGGCTAAAAAGAAGACTATTGTTATTTATTTTATTTCTCTTCCCTCCCATTTGGTTACATAGGCTATAGTTACTATTTAACAACAGTAACAAGGCGCTGGAGAGTTTGTTATCAGGAACTGGGAGAGAGAATCTAGAATTAGTCATATTTATTCAGAGAATTATTCTCAGTCCTTTAAAGCTAAACCTTAATATCACCTTCTTGAATCTCTAATTAATTGGACTTATATGACCTTTTCTTACTCTCAACTTCTGTAACACATTGTTTTCACTGCTAATGACATTTACAGTTTATATGTATATCTTTTGTACTTAACCATCTTTCTACTATGTATAGAAAAATTTTTTAATTTCTTCAGGGTATTGAAGACATATTCTTCCCATCTTTGTGTTCCCTGAAAGCCCTTAATAATGCTTGTATTATCCATAGTAAGTACTTTTTGTAACATTTGTTGAGTTGAAAATATTTGCTACCTGTTAGCCTAAAGGCATCTTTACTTTTAAGTTAAGTATCAAACATCTTTAATTAATAAAGAATACCTCAGTAATACCAAATTGACAATGACCCAGGTCTGATAACGATCCCCCAAAACTTGTTGATGTCTTTGCTTGTACCCTAAGCCTGAAATTCCAAGCTCATTCAGGATCTCAGAATGGAACTTCCATGATACTTTTATAAGAACTCTCCAGGAAGGACATAGTCTTTTCAAAGATCCTCTTGATTAGATTTAGCCCAGACACCTATCATCAGGCTGATAAGCTTTAATTTCAGTGGTGGAGGCTATATGGGAACCCGTGACTTTAGTTGTATACACCATTCTAAAACACATAGAACGGGCTTCCCTGGTGGCGCAGTGGTTAAGAGTCCGCCTGCCAATGCAGGGGACACGGGTTCAAGCCCTGGTCCAGGAAGATCTCACATGCCGCGGAGTAGCTAAGCCCGTGAGCCACAATTACTGAGCCCACATGCCACAACTGCTGAAGCCCGCATGCCAGGAGTCTGTGCTCTGCAACAAGAGAAGCCACCACAATGAGAAGCCCGCGCACCGCAACGAAGAGTAGCCCCCGCTCTCTGCAACTAGAGAAAGCCCAGGCACAGCAATGAAGACCCAACACAGCCAAAAATAAATAAATAAAATAAAATAAAACACGTAGAACATGTGGAACATCCACCCAGCCTTGGGTTTCATGACTCACATTTCTCCCTCAGACATGGTCACGTATCCTGGCAAGACTAGAACTGTGCTTAAGGAAAAACATCTTTAAAATACAAAGTACATAGCATTTGTCAAATGGTGTTTTGTTTTGTTTCTTAAAAATTTTCAAAATTGCAATTAGCAGGAGCATGGCCACCTTTTTAGACTATTATCAGAATTGTGAATTTATATTGGTTTTTTTTTTGGATGAGAAATATTTATTTTAACTGGCATTTTCTTTACAGAAAATCTTCGTTATCATAACATTCAGCAAACACATAGTGGAGCAGATGGTGGCTTTCATTGGGTGAGTAATTCTTTAAGGACTAATATTATCATGGTTTGAATGGGAGGAAATATATAAAAAAGACTTTATTGGTATAGAATTTTTGTGATAGCTCTTTATTTTTTGAGAAGGAAAAATCTTTTGCCCTGTTATTATTTAAATTGAAGATGAACCTCGTTCCCTACAGCAGGGAAGGATGAAGCTCAGATTATCCTTGTTTAATTTTAAACCAAACATGTATCAAGTCATATAATTCTTGATTTAAAAGAAGCTTTGCAGTTTTAGACTTGCCCCTCCAAAGAAGTATGAAATTCTCTTTATGTAAAAGACATGTGTATATAGTCAGAGTTTAATGGTGCTTTGGTACAATGCTATGACTTTTAGCCAGAATTGGATGCCAGATACACAGTTAGTTGTATTTCATTTATATATAAATCTTACATAAAATATTAATATTTCATTAAATAAGGCATGATAAGATATTACCAAAATATGTGTTATGAATCTATTACTTCACTAGAGAAAAATTAGGCCATTTTAAAAGGCTAAACTATCCAAAGCATTTATTTTTGTGTTTAAAAAAGTAAGACCAGTTTTAACATACGCTTTAAATGAGAGTGTCACAAATTTTTTGGAGTTTACTTTGATAAAACAGTAAAGAAAGACCTGTTTAGTTAATCAAATTAATGTCAACTGGAATGTGAATCCTACCAGATATTAAATGAACCCTTTTTTTTTCAATATATGATTTTTTATTCAGTGTTTACAGGTGAGAGGTTTTCTTTTCATTTAATAGCGTTAACTGCCCTATGGTGGAAAAGTTGTTAAGTTGGAATGCCCTTTATGTAGTTTGAACACAAATCTTTATTTTAAAAGCCATTTATAAAACAAGACGTTTATGAAAATATTCACTATTAAACAACTGCCACTTGGTAGTGAGTTCATGAGTATTAGTTTTATTATTCTTTGAAACATGCACTATATATTATATTTACTCTTTTCTATGTATGATATATTCTGTGATAAAATAGTTTTTAATATTTTCTACTTAGGTATTAATGTAATAATTGAGGAAAAACATTCTTGAGAATATACTCAGTGGAGCCAGCTAATGATTTTATTACTTCCTAAGCTTCTGATTAGAAATATGGATTATGGCTTGTAAATTAAATTTTAATTACTCCAGTTTTTTGTTGCCTGAATTCTTACAAAGTGGTTTATAAGTCACCCTATATCACATTCGAAAAGAAAGAGGGAATATTCTTGTCCCTTTTTTAAAAATAAGAAGACATTTCATCCGTTCCTAGAGATTATTTTGCCACCTTGAGAGAATTCTGAGGGACATGTAGGACTACCACACAAACCACACAGACCCACACATTGTAGGAATGACTTTGCACGCAGCATCCTATATTCTTTCTTTCTCCTTTTTCCACACTGAACATTTATAGAAGGAAGTTTTCCAGCTACTTCTACATCCTCACCACTACCACCTTTTGTTTCCCCAGCTTTTGGAGCTTCTAAGAAGTTATATTAGTTAGCTGCCTATCTCAAACACCCACATCCAGTTTCATTTCCTTCCAATCAGTTCATCATACTGCAGTTAGTAACCTTTTAAAAATCATATCTGAGCCTGTCACCACCACTGTCCTCACTCTGCAGCTCCTCCACTTCTTGAAACCCTTCACTTATTTTCCCCTTCATTCTTAAGATAAAGCTAAAACTCCTTACTGGGTCTCTATAGCCTTGAATGAGCTATCCCCTACAGTTTTCTCTGCTTGAGTCTCTCACCATTGGTCTTTGCTCAGGCTTTTCCCTTTGTCCTGTTCAGGGTTTCTCAACCTGGCACTATTGACATTTTAGGCCAGATAAGATGTCTTTGTTGTGGGGGACTGTCCTGTGCATTGTAAGATATTTAGCTGCGTCCTTTTCCTCTACTCACTAGATGCCAATAGTGTCTCCCAGTTGTGACAATCAGAAATGTCCCCAAACATTGCCACATGTTCCATGGCAAGTAAACCGCCACTGTCACCACCAATCCCATTGAGAACCACTGGCCTAGATAATGTCCTTTGGATTTCAGCTACTATATTCACGAAAACACCTTCCCTGACTAGGTCACAATTACCCTCTTTCCTAGGGACCTCTTTTCTCAGCAGTATGTACTACATGCACTGACAGTTGTATTTTTACATTCATGTTTGAGGGTGTATGATTACACCTTTACAACTAACCTGTAAACTTCTTAATGGCAGAGGCCATGCCTATTTTTGTTCGCTCTTGTGCCCATAGCATCTGGCATCTTGATTGACGCATAGCAGGTGCTTGATAAATATCTGGTGAATAAATGAACAGGTGGTGTCCAAATAAAGATCTGGTCAGTAAGAATCAGCAAATTATTTGTAGAGCCCAGATTCTTCTGTTTCCCCAGCCTTTGGAGTTTCTAAGAAATTATATTAATTATCTACAGTAAATAGAAATAAACGTATCTTTAAGCTTAGCCCAATGCATTAAAGTTAGAATTTCTTGTTCCTTATGTTTTTCAAAATCAGTAGTCCTGGGCTTCCCTAGTGGTGCAGTGGTTGAGAGTCGTCCTGCCAATGCAGGGGACACGGGTTCGAGCCCTGGTCCGGGAAGATCCCACATGCTGTGGAGCAGCTAAGCCCACGTGCCACAGCTACTGAAGCCCACGTGCCTAGAGCCCATACTCTGCAACAGGAGAGGCCACCACAATGAGAGGCCCGCGCACCGTAACGAAGGGGGCCCCCACTCGCCACAACTAGAGAGGGCCCTTATGCAGCAACGAAGACCCAATGCAGCCAAAATTTAATTAATTAATTAATTAATTTGAAAAAAATCAGTAGTCCCTCCCCTTAACTATCTCCTCTAGCACAGCCCCTCAAAAAAAAAAAAAAAGAAAGAAATTCCAGTGATTCTTCTTAAAGATGGTTTTGCATAAAGTTATTCTAAGATATTCAAGGCCTACTGGAATGGGTGGTGGTTTGGTTTTGTTTTGCGTGTGTCATATTTTAAAAACTGTTTGCAACAGACAAATGTTGCAACGTCCTGATATCTTCATCGTTTCCCCAGTACTGTCTACAGGGATTACCCATCAACTTCTTTTCGAGATAAACTATTAAGCAGTATAAATAATTAGACTTAGCTGTAATAATAATTCTTGATTACCACATGCTAATTGGTATCTTTTTCATCTTAGTCTGTAACAAAATTATCTTTTAATCAGATTCTCTAATTGAGCTTGATATGGTTTGTTTTCCTACCTTTTGAAGTAGGAAATGCTATATAAGTGTTCAGATGATAATAAATGATGATAAATAGTATCACCAAACCTAGACTGAAAATTAAGTTAAACCAGGAGAATGAATTTTTAGAAAACCTAAATTTGTTCTTTTATATCATAATAAATAGCTTAGCAATTTATTTCAGAAAAGGGAAGGAGAACAGTCAGATTGATTCCCTAGACTCATTGTTGAGTTGAACTGAAAATACTACATGTAATTTGCTATAGAAACATTCTCCTTTGATTGTTAGTTCTCCCTTTTCACACTGTTAAAACTACTGATATAAATGGTGTGTATATATATATATATATATATATATATATGGCAAATCATCAAACTAAACTAGAAAGTTTGGAATACAGCCTTTTTTTGCGGGGGGCTGTGTTGGGTCTTGTTGCTGCACGTGGGCTTTCTCTAGTTGCAGCGAGTGGGGGCTACTCTTAGTTGCGGTGCACGGGCTTCGCATTGCAGTGGCTTCTCTTGTTGTGGAGCAGGGGCTCTATGCACGCAGGCTTCAGCAGTTGCAGCACATGGGCTCAGTAGTTGTGGTACACAGGCCCTAGAGCACAGGCTCAGTAGTTGTGGCGCACGGGCTTAGTTGCTCCGTGGCATATGGGATCTTCCTGGACCAGGGATCAAACCCGTGTCCCCTGCATTGGCAGGTGGATTCTTAACCACTGCGCCACCAGGGAAGTCCTGGAATCCTTTTGAAGGATGTTTAAAACTATGTGCTCACAATTAAGAGGGTGGTGAATTGCCATGGTAGAGTAAAAATCAAAAGAAAAGACCAAGAAAAAGTCAGCAACAGTTCAAATTTAAAATAAAATTATGAGATACTAAGGCAAGGAAGAATGAAAAAATGAATCCCAAGAGTAAGGACAGCTATGGAGTGAAATATGAAAAGAACGCACAGGCTTTAGACAAAACCAGTCTAGGTTTGAATATAAACTCTGCCACAGGCCAGTTATTTATTTCCTCTCTGTATCCACTTTTAGCTGCTGTTCTCTCAAATAATATATTTTCTTTGAGTAGCATTTCTTCCCCAGTTCAGGAGGCCAGTGGTAATCTTTCCAACTTCCAGTCAAAATGTAAAATGTCCTGTCTCAAAATATCTTAGAGTTTAGTTGAAATGTACTCATATCAAGTGATTTAAAATTCTAAGGCATGTGGATTTTTAAAATGCCTTTCGTCTCAATTTTTATGTTGCCTGTGTTCTCATCTCATTTTCCAAAGTTTCTACTGACTGTGAATGGAAAGGTAGCATGCTAGGTGACTACTTTGTATGCTCTCAGAGAAGATTGAGGGAAGGCCTACTTCTCCTTAAAGGAAGTACCCATTTCTTTACTCTCTGATCAGTAAAACACCTTTTATCAGGACAAAGTTTTTCATCAAAGATTATACAAATAATTCTTGAGGGTACTATTTATTAAACATAGTGAGCACTTTACATGCAATTGTTATTACTATTTACTTCTTTTTTTTTTACTTTTTATTTTATTTATTTATTTTTGGCTGCATTGGGTCTTTGTTGTGGTGCGTGAGCTTCTCATTGCGGTGGCTTCTCTTGTTGCAGAGCACGGGCTCTAGAGTGCAGGCTCAGTAGTTGTGGCACATGGGGTCAGTAGTTGTGGCTCACCAGCTCTAGAGCACAGGCTCAGTAGCTGTGGCGCACGGGCTTAGTTGCTCTGCGGCATGTGGGATCTTCCCGGACCAGGGCTC